AGTATAAAGGCACAATAGAATTTGGATTTGATTTCCTAAATAAATACGATAGTGATATAATAGTATTTATAAAACGGACAAGTCAAATCAAGCAATCTGATTGGTTCTTAGCCGTGATATACTGAGCGTATACCACGGGTAGAATTGTAAGTTACTTTTCACAACAAGTCAGTATTCCTCCGCGTCTGAGAAAAACTGTATACAGTTGGGCTGAAAAGCAAACTGCTTGCAGTATGCTTTTCAAACTGGAACAAGAAAGCAGCGGAGAAGTAACGGGGCAGAAACCCTCCTTTTTACGCAGCGGTCCAGACATAGACATCAAACGGCAAAAACATATTCAGTGTGCAGTTCCTTTGGCATTAGGGCAGGGATATTTAGATGCTTTCCAAGGTTTGACATAATGAATTGTGCTACTTTTAAAGCAAGCAACGATGTTTTCAAATCTGTAATCAAAAAGGTCCGCAAAAACGCTATCGACCAATCAGATTGCTTGATTTGACTTGTCCGTTTTATAAATATATTTACATTTCTTCCGTTACGAAACAAACTTACAAAGCATAAGATGGAAACATTTAAGATTAACTTCGACCTCCGGGGGGGTCTCACTATGGAGGAGTGGATTGAGCAGTGCCTATCTCCAGAACAAAAAGCACCTAAACGACGACATGCTACGTGAAGAGCAGGTAGACCAACTGGAAAGGTACCACCATTCAAAAGCTTTCTGATGCGGGTCTTGAAACAAAGCAGATAAATTATGACCGTTAGTGGCCACAGGTGCGAAAGCTCTCTCCAGAGCTACTGGAAGCCGAATCTTGGGGACCGGAGAAAGTGGAGCAATATTCTCGCCACGCCAAGCAACAGCCTAGATCAACCTCAACCTATACAAGTAACCACGTAAGCCATTCTACTGATGCTGGACAGTTTTTCAGTGGGTGCACAATAAACGGCAACATACAAATGAATGTAAATAAATAGCCAAATAATGGATCAACGCTCTCTGTCTAATATGTTCGCTAGCTGTTAGTGTTGTTGCATAGCAACCACCTCGCACTATGTTTCGTGCAGAAGGCAACGGAGGGACTATTTTATTTTGAACATCATTATTTACTAATACAAACTATTTAAATTAGAGTGTGTATTTTTCTTTCATATTGCCACACTTGGTAACCGTTTTATAAAAGCAATAGCTCACTTCAGGCCATGATGCTCATTATATCACAGCTAAGGGGGTTGTCGAACCACGCCCCTTAGCTGTGATATAATGAGCATATACCACGGCCTGTCGTGAGCTATTGCTTAAATAATTAGAAAGAAAAATGTAATCTGCAAAAATATATTCTAGGGATCTACAGAAATGTTGAACTTAAATATGAATACTGAAGGTTGTCTAGTATAGTTATTATTTTCCAGTGTTGGGCAAGTTACTTCCAAAATGTAATACATTACACATTACTTATTACTGTCTTTTTTAAGTAATAAGTTACATTACAATATTACTGTCTCTGAAATGTAATGAGTTACACTAGTTTTATATTACTCTTGAGTTACTTTCACCAAAATAACCGCAAAATAATGGCTAGGTATTTGAAATGCTAAAATTGTATTTTAGTGCAGCAACTGTGTAGGCAAGGCTTAGTTGAATACTCGATTCCGTTGCTAAGGAGGATCAAGAAAGAGAAAGTAAAAGAGGGTAAAAGACGGAGCGCTGGACGTCAGATAAATGAACAGAAGAAGACAGACAATAAGTAAACACTAACAGGAACACGGCATGGGCTCTGCAGTGTTTAAGGACTTGTTAGTGGATCAGAAACTGTGAACCGAGTTGGACAGTGCTGCCGTAAAGTTGTTGTTGTCGCAGTTCCAGCCGTTGGTGCGCCGTGGAACGGAGTTTTTCTTTTTTCTTAGCGGAAGAAATACGATCATTTTAAGTCAATAAAATCATTTCAATTAATATTGGGAGTCGATTCCTTAGTTTGTTTAGTATCTGGCCATGTAATAAGCGGGATAATGTGCAGCGACTAGGTCATTATGGGGAAAAGAACACCCTTCAGGCTCATCAAGATCAGCCTGACTGATTACGTAAACACCAGGTTTACTAATCTACCGGCACAATTTTTCTCTGGTGTCGGAATGTCTCGCGATGTTAGTGAATTCTTAAAAAATAATTTCGGGTTAAAATGAGTTGTAACTGCGTTACTGAGAATTGTAACGGGTAGTATATTACCCACATTTCATTAGTAATGCGTTACAGTACTTCGTTACAGCAAAAAGTAATACATTACTGTAACTCCGTTACTTTTGTAACGCGTTACACCCAACACTGTATTTTCCTACAGTATACTATATAGATATAGCCTACATTTAGTACTGAACAATCAAAACTGCAAAACTTACACATGATGATGAGTTAGATTTATCTGTGAAAGTATGAACACACCCTGCTGAGTCTTGAGGGGAAACAGAACCTGTTGAGAGCTGTGCGCAAACACCACGTGGTGACGCACCGTTAATGGTGACAACAGGGACAACTCACAGTGATCATGGGAAGTCCTGCACAGATCTCAAAACCGTGACACCCGTCAATCTACTCTCCATATCCTCCGTGAGTAAGACAGTAGCACATTCCTCGGTGCGTTTCTCTCCCGGGATGATCCTCTGATGATCGGTCGGTAACAGTGTCTTACGTTTGTGAAAAGTCTGGTCGCTCGTATGATGTGGCACGGCTGATGGCCGATCTGTTTCGTCTCGTGTTTTGCAAAAAAGTAGTAATTGTGTGAGCTTTGCGCGTACATGTGACAAAGTGCACGCACACCGTGTTGAGGGAAGGGAAATCGATGAACTCACGTTTATCCTCACATTTCTGACACGGATTAATAAAGCGAGGACATTATATTCATGAGGGAGGTGGGCTCATACTAAGCACGCTGTATTGCTTCCAAATGTTTAACATATTGAATAGATAAACTATTTTCATTCAAAGTTATCAGTGCTGTATCACTACACACAGGCATGATTTACTCTTCTCTCTTCTGTGTGTTTTAGTTTAGGGATGTGTAATGTCTGGCCACCTGCACCACAACAATGCTTTTAAATTATTTAGGTGGGTCCTTTACGAAATATTGATATAAAACCAACTACTAACTAACTAACAGCAAGGCAAGAATAAGCACAATCTGAGCAAACTGCTGAGACTCTGAGAGCCAGTCAAAGAAATTAATGAATGCAGATTAACTTTCTGTCAATCAAATAATACATCTAATCATAATGTTGCCTACCACCAGGGTTGGGAGGGTTACTTTGTAAATGTAATCAGTTACTGATTACTGAATACATGGCTCTGAAAGTAATCCGAATACAGTTACAGTTACGTGTCTTAAAAAAGTAACGTAATCAGATTACTTTTAGATTACTTTTGGATTACTTTCTTTTTCCATCACAGTATGTTTTGGTGTACAGAGACACAAAAAGCAAAAGGAAACTGAACATGTTTTTACTGTTTTAATGGCTTATCAAGAGCACAACTGAAACATAACATCTGAAACGATGTAACAACATAATACACTTTTTGGGGATGCAGCTTGGGATGTGAGGAGTGAGGGACACGGCTTAGAACGGGCGTGTCGCCTTCTGTCCTGCCAGTGTTGGCAGGACATGAATTAAAATGTCGAACTCGGACTTCATTTTAAGGACATTTCGGCCAGGGGTGTAGAGCTATATTTGTTTAAGCACCGGATTGGCAAACCAGGAGAGTGTGTGCACCAGTCTGCCTTGATCTATGAATTCCTGTCCGTGACACTCACAGTATCTGCTGCCCACAGCTGGTTTATAGAAGGAAAACCTCCTTCACTTCATGAAATCTCTGCAGCACCAGGAGGCAGCGGGAGGGTTAACTCAGCCTCTGAGAAGAGGAGCGTGCAGTGCCTTTCACGCACCGCCTTCACTGTGTTTACCTTCAGAATCATTAGAAAGGCTAAAGAGCGACCGCAGGCTGATGTGTTTTAACCACACACACCTCTACACACACACACACACACACTCACACGATTTAAACGCAGACTTTTGTTCCTCCATGTTTCGTGGTTATTGTTTCACTGAGCGGACCCGCACATTTTTTTCAAACGCTCCCTTTTTTGGTCCATCTGCGGCGGTAATAGGTTTTGTGCGCTGTGATGATTCGGCTGTACCTTTAGTAATGCATATTAAATGTTGTGAGGAAATCTTTCCACCAATAATTCCAATAAGTAATCCAAAATGTATTCACTTCAGGTTTACGAAAGTAACTGTAATCAGATTACTCGTTTTTCAAATGTAACGCGAGCTGAATACAGTTACTTGATTTTTGTATTCTGATTACGTAACGCCGTTACATGTATTCCGTTACAACCCAACCCTGCCAACATGTGTTGTGTACTGTCTGTTAAAATATGATATTTAACAAACTCTGATACCCTTAAAGAAAGGAATATAGCACTCAAGGTCTCAGGGAGTCCACTTGACTTAATTCTAGCTTTTTAAGGTTTCTCAACCAAATCCAGAAGGCAAACTTTTTTCAATTCTGAGTCGAGAGAAAACGTTGGGAGAAAGGTTGTAGCATCAACCCTTCTCCCAATTTTTTCAACAGATCTTTTGACAAATTGGGTCTAGAGAAGATTATTAAGATACATGTTGCAACCAGATCTGAGTTTGTGTATGTGCTTTCTGAACCATATAAACACATAACATGAATGGATCACTTAAGTGCAATTAGAAATTATTTGATCAATATGTCCTTTTCAGATGTCTCGTTTTGTCCAACAAACAGACATGCATATATTTACCTCACAATTATACAAAACCTGCAGGAAAGGGATTTGGAGGCTTGAACCTGGCTGTGTGTACATGTTGTGTGATGAATGACTGAAAAATGCTGCTTATGAATGAATCAATTTAACATTTCAGGACTTGTGGATTAATCAATATGAGTATTATCTTACATGGGTATCTCATTATCTGTTTTTCAGGCACCATGTGTTCCTATGACTTACTGATGTGAGCCTGAGGGATAAGTGGAGAAGAGTTCTCAGGAAAAAATGAGGACAGAGCATGTTGTTTGGGACGAAGAAGGGACGCCAAGCTTTACCCGGAGATGCTTGCAGCCGGATTATCATGAAGGAGCGGAGCTTTTGCATCTCACAGTTGAGGAAGATCAGTAACAGAGGAACCCAGACTCATGAGGAGCCTGACAAAGGTCTACTGGACTTTACATCATTAAAAAAGAAGAGATGCCAGGTAGGACAGAAGAATGAAAGAGGAGATTAAGGCGAGACAGACTAGAGGAGATAAAGTGAAGGCTAAACTAAGGCAAACAGTTTGATAGATGGAATGAGTAGTAGAGAAGCAGGCAGAAATAAAATAAAAATACTACCATTAAAGAAAAGCCAGAAGAAGATACCGCTCGAGGAGAGTAAATGTCTAGAAGTATCCAGAGAATAGGTGATCTCAGGTTTTGAAGATCAGCAAAAAACAGTATTCGCGATGTTCATGAACTTCCGTCGTATTCACAAGTGCCAGTGCGTGCAGCTGCTGACCGCATGCATGGTGCTGTGTGTGGTGATGGTCAGCTGGGAGGAGCTGGACCACCATGTGGTCAGCCACATGAGATCCTACACGTATCGCTACCTGGTCAACAGCTACGACTTCCTCAACTCTTCCTTCAACATCACCTCCAACCGTCACAGAAAGGATGGTTCTACTAACGGGTTGGTGACCTACCCGTACCTCATCAACCATCCAGGGAAATGTGCAAGGGGAGATGGGAAAAGCGGGGATGACGTGCTCCTTCTTCTATTTGTGAAATCATCGCCAGAGAACTTTGAGCGGCGCCAGGCCATCAGGGACACGTGGGGGAACGAGAGCTTTGTTTGGTCCGAACTGGGAGCCACTGTGAGGATGGTGTTCGCCCTCGGTGTGGACGCAAAGCGGAGATCCAGGGTGCAGAGAGCACTGCTACAGGAGGACCAGACCTACGGAGACCTGATCCAGCAGGACTTTTTGGATACCTTCCACAACCTCACAGCCAAACTGATCACGCAGTTCCACTGGGTCCACGAGTACTGCCCTCAGGCGCATTTCCTCATGTCTGCAGATGACGACATCTTCGTCCACATGCCCAATTTGGTGAAGTACCTAAGGCAGCTTCTGAGTAATAAATCAGGGGTCAAAGACTTTTGGGTGGGTCATGTACATAGAGGAGCCCCTCCAGTTCGCCGTAAAGAAAGCAAATACCACATCCCCTATGATCTGTACCCCTGGCCTTCCTACCCGGACTACACGGCTGGAGCGGGGTACGTGGTTTCAGGAGATGTGGCTGCTAAGATCTACCAGGCCACTCAGGTACTGAACTCCTCCATTTACATTGACGACGTCTTCATGGGGATTTGTGCCAAAGCCATGGGGGTCTCCCCCCAGGAGCATGTGTACTTTTCAGGTGAGGGCAAGGCTCCATATCACCCCTGCATCTATGACCACATGATCACATCGCACGGTCACGCCACAGACGTTCGGTCACTGTGGCAGGCAGCTACAGACCCTGCAGTGTACGGCAAGTCCAGAGGATTTATGGGTAATCTGTACTGCACAGCGGTGAGGGCGATGATGCTGTGTCGGCCATATTACCAGAACTCTTACTCCTGTATGGCTGCTTTTACATGATCCTCAGGTAACGCAAGGACTGCTTAATGCTAAATGTTTGCAGACAAACAAATGATGGAACTTTACTCAAAGAGTCTGCCATGCTATTTTTCTTTAATGTGATATTTAAGTGTTTTCTTGGCTATTTGCTCTATGGTAATAAAGATAAAAGCTCTGATAAGCAAACACATGCTCTTAGCTGTTCTTCATTTATCAACAGGATCGCTTTTCAAAGGGAGAAGATACTGGTAAAACACTATGGTTCTTTTACATGAGGGCTTTATGTCTTACTTCTGAAGCCATTTAGTTTAGAGTCTGAGTTACTGTCAAAACTAGTTATTGAATATAATGAATCTGAGGCAATTTGTGCTCTGCAGACATGTCCCATTAATTGCTAAATTCAGCCTTTTTAGATAAATAATCTGAATATTTGTAGATTGCAAATTCTGAAGAACAACCTTTCAAATAAGGCTTATTAAAATATTCAAGAACAATAACCATTTTGTTCTTTGTAGTTCAATTAAAGCTGATACAATTAGCAGATTAAGCGCTGAGTCAATTGAAAGAGAATGGACACTTTTTAAAAACGGGTTTAAGTAAGCAAAGAGGGTAAACAACAAATAATTTTGTTTCTGTTTTATGTCCTTGTAAAATGAACATCTTTGGGTTTTGGACAAAACAAGACAATTGAATATGTCACCATGGAAATGTCATAGACCCAAATATGTGTTTGTTGTAGTCAATTTGCCTTTAAACAAAACAGAACAACCTATTGCCAGACAAGAAAGTCATCAATATTTGAAATGGTCACTTGATGATGATGATAATCATCACTGCTAATGATCATCGCTTGCCATTGCAGCACTGATTATGACATTATTATTTGAACTTGGTATGTTGCACTAGTAGCTTAGCTGGAACTGACTCACTGTAGACGGGCTGACAGAGCTCAACAGAAGTTTCCTGTTGGGACACAGCTCAGCCAGAAACAAGGAAGCTAAATCCGGCCAGGCTGAGCTAAACGATGCCAGATGTGCAAATTACCCTACCACGGTACAGACAGAACACGTGGTACAGTACAGTAGGTTGCAGGGTATTTAATATTGTGCTGTTCCACTGTACCTCTTTATGATACATTATAAGGGAGCTTGAGACTTTTACTCTTCTACATTTTAGGTTTTAAAGTGCAGTGGTGGTTGGGATTAATCAGAAAGGAAGCAAGAGGATTACAGGGAGAGTTTAGCAAAAATATTTGAATGCTCTTATATTTGCTTTAAATGTGTGAGTTGTCTTTCACTTCCTTAGGCTTCTATACATCATATAAAGCAGCAACAATGGGTCACAAGTAGATATTGATTTGTTTCGAGGGTGTAGAACCTTTGGGTCAACAATAGTATAAGATGGCAACTTTGTTAGTAAATAGTTGCTTTTTTACACATTCAGCTATTATAAAGTGACATTATCAATCATTTGTGTTTGTGTTTCTGGCAACCTGGCTCATATAAGTTATATCTCACACAGGCTCCGCCCTCTACTGGACTCTATGGGTACTACTCTCTACCATGCTATGCGAGCATTCACATACTGAGTTGCATAAACCTAGCCGGCCAATCGGGGCGAGCCGACCTGAATGCGCGCGCAGGCCCACAGTATATAAGGCGGCTACGCCTCCCGACTGTCATCCTTTATCTCTTCAGCGAGCAGCAAACAACTGAAAAGCTAAACGTGAGAAGAGGAAAGAATAAGAAAAGTAATGGATTCACCACTCCTTGAGCCCCGGCCTCAAGACAGGAGAATTCAGGCCCATTCTGGATCTTTGCAGCCTGAATCAGCACATTGCCTGCAAAAAGTTCCATATTTTAACTATAAAACAGTAACTGGGGCTCGTGCAGCCGGGCGATTGGTTCACAACCATCGACCTGAAGGACGCTTACTTTCATGTCGAAATTGCTCCAAAGCACAGAAAGTATTTGCGTTTCGCCTTCCAGGGGATAGCCTACGAGTACGACAAATGTGTGGCCACAGCGCTTCAGCCGCTTCGCGACCATGGCATGAGGGTTTTCTTTTATCTAGAGCAGGGGTTCCCAACCCCCCGGACCGCGGACCGGTACCGGAGGTGTTACTGCCGGGCCGCAAAATAGCTGTGAGTTTATCGTAATATTTGCAGAATTATAAATATATACAAATATTTTATCATAATGTTTTTTTCACACTTATATCAGTCATATTATTTCATCCAGTAGCCTAGTTAAACTTTCACCAGAAAACAGTTGAAAATGGCTTTTATGATGTTTATGGGATTCGGCGGCTCAGCATAAGGTCTCAGCCTCTCCTGCGCACGAGAAAGTTACCGGTGCGCCAAGAGGAGCGCACAGGAGACAACCGTTTCATTGCAGACTGTTATGTTTATGTGGGGAAATGGCAGTGCATACATTATTTGAGATATATTTCAAACTCGGACTACATTTTAAGGACATGTCGGCCAGGGGTGTAGAGCTATTTGTTTAAGCACTGGATTGGCAAAACAGGAGAGTCTGTAAACCAGTCTGCCTTGATCTATGAATTAATGTCCGGGACTCTCACAGTATCTGCTGCCCACAGCTGTTTTATAGAAGGAAACCCTCCTTCACTTCATGAAATGGCTGCAGCATCAGGAGGCAGCGGGACGTGTAACTCCGCCTCTGAGAAGTGCAGCATCAGCACGCCGAGAGCTGTGCCTTTTTACGCACCGCCTTCACTGTGTTTACCTTCTTCAGAACAGCTTAAGAGTGACTGCAGGCTATACAGGCTGTGGGTCAGTAGGTATCTGACCCCCCCCCTGGGACATAGTGCACTTATGTTTTTTCCCATGCTCCTTAGGGACTCGGGGAACATGGTGCGCGGTAAACTCCATACAGAGCCTTCCTCACTATTTTCCATGCACACTCTACACGAGGTAAGCATGTGTGAGTGTGCTCTATCCAAGCTGCGGCCCCGACTTCTCCACGGTCACAACCGGATGAGAGGAAGTTGGAGTGCAGTGGCTGTTAACCAAAGGTCAGGGGCAGTGTGATGGGTCGATGTTGTTGGACGACAGGGCGTTTATCCATCAGGGCTCCACCCACTGTACCCATAGAGTCCAGTAGAGGGCTCCGCCTGTGCTTATATAACTAGGGTTACAATGCGTAACCCCCCGTTTTTTAATCATTCTCTTTCAGCTGTTTTTGTTGCTACCAAATCCTGACCCGAGGGAAATGTCTGACTTTCTGGAAGCTGAAAGTTTCACTGTGTTGGTTTTTAGAGTTTTTCCACTGAAAACAGCACCCGGCCAAAACCACCACCTCCCTCTGCTCTGTTTCCTCATAGTTTAGCCCTCTGATTACGCTATACCCTCATCTTCTCCTATAATTATTTTCTCTCACCACTGCCGATCGGGTGCATCCTGTTTCATTGAGTTTCTTTTAAACATCAAACAGGCTGAATCACCAGGAATGTGGAGGTCTTCTGGCATCATGACCTTAAAAGGAACTTTTGTACTGCTTTTTTATGGGTCCACAGATGGAAAGCATTCACTAATGGAAACTTGGTATTCCCCACATGACATGGCATAGTTGTTTATTTTAATTTGTTTTCATTCATTTTGTACACATCCTTTCAGACATTAACCCATTAGTAGTTACTTAAATAACAAAATAGTTAAGTGTCCAAAATATCAAATGTGACCTATCCAAAGATTGAGCCAGTCATGATTCATGACTTGGATAAAATGTGATGCAGGGTTGTTTTGGCATGTGTTTGGCATAGAGTACCATTTGAAGAGATGACTGCAGGAGTTACAGCTCATAAAAGGCTGTCTTCAGTGGCTGAAAGGTGAAAACTCACTACAACGGCCCAAACCACTTCCGTTATAAAGGTGGACAACTGTCACTGTTGGCACAGTTAGTCTGTTTCATAACTGTAAGTGTTTTGTCACTATATTTGAAATGAGGTTTCTACATTAGCTAGGTAGCTCACATCAGATCTGCATCATGTCTCCACTCTACTTCTATTTGGAAAAAAGCTCAGTGCATTCCTTTATTAGATTTGGTGCCATAAACGGGCCACACATTTGAAGTAAATATGTATATGTGTATGTGTTAAAAAGGATGTCATGATATACTAACTGTTACTGAGGAAATAAAATGTGCAGAGGAAACACGTTTAAATAAACACGTTTTTTATTTTAATTTTTATAATCTTATAAAGGTGTTATGTTTCCCATATCAATACATGTTTCCACTAGACAAAACATAATATTTCATTAAATCCAAGTATTCATGATTGAACAGAGAGATTATCCTAAGAAGTGGCCTTATCTAGACTGTACACACCCTTTGACTAACAGATAAAGTAGCTTTGTGTCAGTGTTGCCATGACCCTGTACTGTTGCTATGATGTTCACTGTACATGTCCATGTGATGTTACTCATTATATCCACGCCCCCCTGTACGGAACCGTCTCTATTTATACTGATGCAAGTAACCTGAAGAGGATGAATCTCACTGAGTCAGCAAACAGGACATGGAAAGCAAATTCCTCAGAAAGAGCTGAGGAAGGAAGGAATGTCAGCTTCCTTTCTGCCTCTCTGGGCTTCAAGTCAATTGCCTAAGATGATCCTAACTTTGGTTGTGTCTTTATGTGTGCCTGCCGCCTCCATGAAAATGTCTCTCAGGTATTCAATGTAAAATCATCACATTTCTCTTATCAAAACCTATTTCTCTCATTCACTGCCAAATCTGTTAAATCCATTTCACGGTTCCTGGACAAGAACAGATCAGAGTCTATCACAATGCATTGAATGGAAACCACAAATGCTACATTAATGCCGTCAAATTAACAATTGCAGTATTAGGCTCTGTATGCAGCGTGTTGCTTTTATTTTTCCACAGCAACATATTTTATATCAATGATGCAGACAATTTAACCAAGAACACTGTTTTATATTACTGTTATTTTAAAGAAGTGTACATAGTTTTTTTTTATTTTATTCCCCCCCATATTTATCTGTTTGAATTTTCGTATTGATTTTGCTGAAAATGTAAAACACATAACTCAGCTTGCCGGTATTTTTGAAGAAATGTTTACACACAATGACTCTAAAATAGGATTTTTCTGGATAGTAATTTTCCACTTGCATCCTGCTCTTATTCAAAGCAACAGGTTTCCTGAAACAGTTCTAATAAATCAATTATTATAAGTTAAAATGGCGGCAATCCAGCCAGTAGAAATGTTAAATGATGCACCAAGCGCACCTCTTATGGGACACAGGGCCTGAGGAAGGAAGCCTGGGTTAACAGAGACAGATGATAACTACCTTTATGGTACCCATTCTCTCTGATTAAGGTCAAGTCAAAGAAACCCTTAGGGCCCCTTAAGTGAAGGTTTTCTGTGGTTCTGGTCATTCAAAAAGGATCCTGTTCCTCCGGGTGTCTTTTCAAGGTTACTTATAAGTGGGATGTGGAAACATCTAGGTAGGGTATAACAATTCAAATGAACTTTTCAGTGAAGTACGAGACTTTTGAAGATTTGTGTTTTGTTCAGTGAATTGCTGCTGTGCCATTTTACTTCACATCTTGTTTGCAAACCCTCAGAATAATCCTGTTGTTTTATCAGTATAGTGAGATGACAGTGAGGTGAAGTACTGCATGTGAGCACAGCACTGATTTCTGTCCATACCTGCGTCTGTTGGATAGACTCTCCGCCGTCTCACTGGTCACAACAACGTGGGTGGAGCCTCCTTGGCTTTCCTCGTGCATCACCTCAATCTGTGGCACAGAAACACACACATTCAGATAAATTAGTTATTAGGGCAG